AAAGTTATGTTAACCAGTCTGATGTAAGCATTCCAAATTGTATATAAAATAAGTACATTGTACCCCACAAATACATTAATGTACACAGTTATGATTTAATAAAAATAAAAAGCCTTTCGGCCCAAGACACCATCTTCTAGTAATTCACCAAATGACAAACACAAAGGGAAAGAGGAGAGGCCCCCGATACATGTTCTTTAGGCCTTTTAGAAAACATGGAGTTGTTCCTTTGGCCACATATATATGAATCTACAAGAAAGGTGACATTGCAGACATCAAGGGAATGGGTACTGTTCAAAAAGGCAGGCCACACAAATGTTACCATGGCAAAACTGGAAGAGTCTACAATGTTACCCAGCATGCTGTTGGCATTGTTGTCAACAAACAGGTTAAGGACAAGATTCTTGCCAAGAGGATTAATGTTCATATTGAGCATATTAAGCACTCTTAAGAGCTGAGATAGCTTCCTGAAACGTGTGAAGGAAAATGATCAGAAAAAGAAGGAAGCCAAAGAGAAAGGTACCTGGGTTCAACTGAAGCACCTGCTACTCCACCCAGAGAAGCCCACTTTGTGAGAACCAACGGAAAGGAGCCTGAGCTCCTGGAACCCATTCCCTATGAATTCATGGCATAAAGTATATAACATATCACACAGGAGTACCAGTGGACCCATGCTTTTAGGTGCAAGAACCTGTTTATTCTCCATGAGCTCATGGCATAATAGGCATACAGCATAGCACACAGGACAACCAATAGACCTCATGTAACAGTGATACAAGGTGCTGGTACCTATTTTCCATGAATTCAAAAGTCAACGCTTTGTCACATTCAATGGCAAGGTGCCTCCCTGAGCTACTGGAACCTCTTCCCTACGAATTCATGGCATGGTAGATAAGAATAATAGCCCACTGCTACTGTAAAAATGTTTTTTGTTCATTCACTAAAAGTGTGATTTTTTTTCCCCAAAGAAGTATTAAAGCAAATTTTATGTGTCCTAAAAATAATTAATTAATTAATTAATTAAATAAAAATTAAAAATTGGGGCCTAGGCTCAGTGGTGGGACCTCAATAATGAAGGAAGAGTGGGACTTAGTGACTGCTTTCCTGTGGGATAAGGTGATCAGACTTTTGGACTGTTTCTTGGCAGGCTGGTTGCTCACTCATCGAGCTCCCATTTGGGGAGAGGGGTCTCCCTTCCTCTGGGAGCTCATCTTGTACCTGTTGTTTTTCTCCCACTTTCTTATTTCTGCTGCTTAATTCAGCCTGAGTGATTTGTACCTCATGCAGTCCTCTCAGTGTGGACCTCCTCACATTTGGCTTCCATCCCCTTCAGTTCAATATGTCTCCCTTCAGACATGAGCCACTGGTGAAAGCTGCTTCTAGTCAGCCATCTTCCCACAATTCCCCTGCAGTTTTATTTTCTAGTGGTGTCTTTTTCTGGCTTTGGTCTAATACAATGAATTTGAAAATATTCCCTTTAGCAACATTTTTGGAAGATTTTACAGTTAATTCTTATTTGAATATCTGATGCAATTCACTCCTGAAGCCATCTTGACCTAGGCAATTCTTCATTGGGAGATATTGTTTGTTGTTTTTTTGTTCGCATTAAACATAACTTTTCCAGCTTTTCTAAGGTACATGTATAATTAATATCTGCATGTATTTACAGTGTACAAAGTGATATTTGTGAAACATATATATTATGAAATGATTACAATGTTCAAGCTAATTAACATAGCAATCACCATTTTTTGTTGAATGTCAGCAAACTATTTATGACCTACTCTCTCAGCAAATTTCATGTACTTAATATGGCAACATTAACTAGGCACCATGGTGTACACCAGATCTCCAGAATATATTCATCCAGAAGAAAGGAAACTTTATGCCTTTTGGCCAACATCTCCTGTTTTCCTCACTCTTCACTTCCTGATAGATGTCGCTGCACTTGGGGTTTTTTGTTTGTTTGTTTGTTTGTTTGTTTGTTTAATTGAGACATAGCAACTTCCAGCTCTTAGCCTTAGGCAATTCTCTTGCCTCAGCCTCCCAAGTAGCTGAGACTACAGGCACCCACCACAACACCCAGCTATTTTTTGTTGCAGTTGTCATTGTTAGTTAGCTGAACTGGGCCAGGTTTGAACCCATCAACCTCAGAGTATATGGCTGGCGCCATAACCACTGTGCTATGGGTGCCAAGCCAAGGGGGTTTTTAATTTTATTTACTTTTTTTTGAGACAGAGTCTCACTCTATCGCCCTTGGTAGAATGCCATGGCATCATCATAGGTGACAGCAAACTCAAATTCTTGGGCTCAAGCAATCCTCTGCCTCAGCCTCTCAAGTAAATAGAACTACAGGAGCCATCACAATGCCCAGCTAATGTTTTTCTGTTTTGGAACTATAGTAGAGTTGCAGCCTCACTCTTCCTCAGGCTAGTCTCAAACTCCTGAGCTCAAGCAATTGTCCCACCTCAGCTTCCCAGATTGCTAGGATTACAGGTGTGAGCCACCACGCCTCACCTATACTTGTTTTTTATAAGTTCAACTTTTTAAGAATCCGCATACACGTGAGATGATGGAGTATTTATCTTTCTATGCCTGGCTTCATTTGTTTTTCATAATATTATCCAGGTTTATTCGCAAATGAAAGGATTTCCTCTTTTTAAAGACTGACTATATGTATGGTACATTTTCTTCATTCATTTACTGATGGACACTTACTAATGTGGTGGTCAGGTGTGTAGAAAGGGAAAATGTTCTATAGCCCTATTACTACAGCTCAGTCTTTCTTGAGCCTTTGTCTCTGGGCTTTGAACTTCACAAGTGTCTCCCAGCCTTTACCCAACTTGGGTGGGAGAAATAGCAAAAATGGACTGCAAGTGGGAATTTCCCTACCCCCATGTACAAGGTCAGAGCTGGCTAAGAGCAGGTGTTACCTTTTCCCAGGTTAGTGAAGCGCTGATAAAAACCCTTAGCACGCTAGGCTGTGTTTCACTAGTTTCATGGAAGGACAGACTTTGTTAAGATCACACTGCTCTGGTACATTTCTAATCATTTAAATCCTCTCTCTCTTCTGGCTACAGGAGGGGATTTCACACGTGCATGCATGTACACACACAACACATAATTTACTGTGAGAACCAGACTGAGCTCCCTAAGGTTAAAACAACAAAAGTTTGGGGCCCCACGACTGGGGAACCCTGAAATTTTTAACTCTCAGACTTGTCCGTGCACCTGGCCTCTAGCAATTCTATCATAGTTCAGATTTTCTTAGCCCAGCACTGATTCCCACAGACCTTTCTGTTCCAATACCTTGTAATTTGCTGTCTGTAACCACGATTTTGAGACCAGAAGTTTGTAGGGTAAATTCAATCATTTCATGAGTTATTGTTTTTGCGGCCTTTCAGTCTTTGTTAGTATAGGTTGATGACTCCCAAGCTCCTGGCAGATAGAAATGCAAACAGCAGGGGGAAGGTAGAGGAAGGAGCTGGGGGAGGAGGCTGACAGTCGCCCTGTCAGGACGGAGTGGTGGCTGTGAGCAGGTAGAACAGGTGGAGTGGAATGGAGAATGGAATGTGGGAGAATCAAGAAAGACCCCAGAGCTGGAGCTGGAGCCCCTGTAAAGTTAGACTTGCTTTTATGATAATGGAGAAATAAAGGAGAAAGGGTTCTCATGTGGGGATTAGATTTTGCTTTGGACATGTTAGAGGCAATCGTGTAGGTGCTGTGGAGGCAGCTGTGGGGTGAATACACAGCGAGTGGAAAGGGCTGGCATGGGAAAGTTCAGAGGTCATGCTGGTGCAGGTGGAATTTAACACCAAGGGACTAGCAGAGGTCAGAAGGGGATGAGTTTCTCAAGAAGTAAAGTGGCTCATGAACAAACTTCTAGATCAAAACTAATAGTAACAGATTTGAGAGCAAAACAGAAACCAGGAATGGAGAAACAGAAAACATGACCAAAGTGAGGGCAAAAAGAAAACAGCCCATAGAAGGCGGTGAACTAGAAGCTGAACAGCGGGAGTACTTCAATGGGAGAGGAGTGGGCTGTGTCAAAACAGGCAACAAAGTCACGGGCATCTTTTTAGGTGGATGGAATTTTTGAAAATGTGAAACTCTGTACTTACCTTTTACAAATCAATGAATGGTGCATTTAATGGGTGAAACTTAAGACATGCAAATTATAGTCCAATAAAGCTGTTTTAAAATATTTAGCATATGTAAGCCTGGAATTTCTACTCCCATGGGAAATAAAACTCATGTGTATAGGAACACCGTGTGCTTGAATATCCACAATATATTTAATCACAATGGCCCACACTTAACATCACCAAAATGTCTGTGTTGTATTCATACAATGTCACATTTGTCAGAAATTAACAAAGTACACACAAGATCTGCACAAAACAGAGGTAAATTTACATATTTTGACCGAAGGAGGCAGAGATCAAAGGACACATGATGATTTATTTCACATCTAGGATTCTCAGGCCTAGCTAATGTATGTTCCCAGCACCCACAGCAGGGACTGCCTGTGGCCAAAGTGAGTACACAATGACTAAACTGTTATCTGGGCATTTTTGTATAAATGGAGAAGATAGATATACATTAGTAGTGTGGTAGGATATGGGAGGTCAGGCGGGAAAATGATTCTTTACATATACTCAGCCTTCTAGACGCTTACAGAAAGCCTTTTCTCATGCACACACTTGAGATCAGCAAATCTGACTGTATTTTTATTTTATATTGATACAAACACAGTAAAAAAGAAGTGAAGAAAAATAACTAGAAAGTAGTGGAGAAAAGTACATCTTATCTACATTTCTCCTCCTCCCACGACCCTGGAACTGACCACTCTTGGATGCCTGTTACTGGTTGGGTTCCAGGTGGAATGTTGAGGTTTGTTGTGGCCGTGGAATCTACGGCGACTGGCCAGAGCCCTGTGGTGGCTGTAGATCTGTGGAGCTGTCCTCTGGGCTGACCCAAGAGAAGCTGGACTCAGTGGTGATGGAGCCACTGCCCCTGGACCTGAGTCTGCGACTCACTTTCCATAGTCTCCAGTGGGAGACACTGGTGGATCCACCTCTTATCATCTTCTTGGTGGGTCTCATTGTTTTATTCCGACTTGCTCAATCTATTAGAAGCCAACTTTATGCAAGGCGTGAAAAGCAGCTTGCAGAAGCACTGGCTACACAACTTAAGGAGAAATGCCTGCTCATTGACGAGGTCTACAGTGCTGGGAAGGAGTGTACTGAGACTGAAGCATCTCTAGAGAAGATCAGGCTAGAGACTGCGTCTTTAAATATACCCAGCCTCGTGGACACTTATAGAAAGGTGAAGAGGGCCAACTCAAAGCT